CACTGTTTCAATGGTTTACAAGAGAAATATAGCCAAGGAGATAAGAATAGGAGCTTGTAGCAGAAGAAGGCTTAACCTTAAGCAGAGTCTGTGGCACAGTAAGTATTACATTACCTGTTGCTATTGCACCAGGAAGGAGAGGGACAGGACTCAAGGCATAACTATACATAAGGGAAATTTCAGTTGGCAGAGTGACCACTGAAAGTGAAAACTGTCATCAAGCCAACTTTAGCAATGCTCCAGATCTGTATATGAATTGCCCTAACAATGACATGCTTTCAAAAATCCTGAATCACTGTTATGTTCTTCCGTGAACAACATATCTCCAACGACACAGGAGATCCATCAGTGGAGCTCTCAGAAACTAATTTTTAATAAATAGCCTCAGGGTAGGCTGATTTGGACTGGTGCCACAGTTTTGAGAGAGAGAGAGCGGTTTCACCTGTCATCCCACACTGATTCCCATCAAGGACTGGCACCGCTATGCAGCGGTGGCAGGTTCTCACTCCAGCAAGGACTCACTGATGAGAACTCCCCAGATTTACTCCTCTTCTTCACCACTGCAACCAGTTTGTTCAGCTGACGCTCACTCTCACCCAGGTAAAGGTATTGGTGAGAAGGAGCAGCAGAAGATGCCACTGCCTACTTTCTCACTGGCTCCCTGCCTGTCAAGAAAGCAAGCAGAAGCAGTGATGAAAAAAGGAGGACGACCAATAGCAACTGGTGACAAAGGGGGTGAGGAGGCAGAGGTTGCCTTGAAGAAGGGCCTGAAAACTGGAAGCAAACACTGTTCTCAAATGCAAATCTTCCTTCTAGAAACTGTGATCAGCTGCAAAGATAACAAGAGAGGGAAACAATAATTGCACCACACCTGTACATTTCCTCCCTCACTGATCTCACATCTCATCTGGCCGTTAAACTTGGTTTCAGTTCATTTAACAATTTGCTAATATTTCTCAGCAAGCATGTGGAACATAAATACACCACTTTCCAATTTCAAACACTGAATAAGTACTAATTAGAATTCATTACTTGGTGCTACCTGATGCAATCATAAAACTCTTAAAATCAACTCCCCACAAATTTCAGTAATAAATAAACTCTTTTTTAAAAAGGCACCTTCCAACTGTATTAGATTACTCACCAAATTCAGTATATGGCATAACATTTAAACACCATGTGCATGGGAATTCACAGTAGGAAATGTTCAACTCGTGACCACAAATAAAATAAATAAAATAAAATACTTAGTGGTATTAGTACTAAGATTGTAAAATAATAATAATAATAATCAAATAAGGCTTCTCTAGCTTCTCTAGGATAGGAGGTGGGGATTTTGTTGTCTGCTCTTTATGGGAAAAGAGCAACAGCTTTCCTGCTTTCTTGTTGACCATTGCCAAGGTAATCCTTAATGGATTAAGTTTTGCAAAATAAATTCTGTAAATAGAATGCGGGCTGAGATCATTTAAACTCAATTCTCTAGGGACCTCTTAAAGTCCTGGAAGCTGTCAAGCACAGGCAGCCTCTTCTTTCAGTGTTAGTTTCCAGTCTCCCTAGATGCATAAAATGGCTTGTTTTTCACATACTTTCTCTAATGGTATGAAGGGGAAAAATACATTTTTTCTCTTGATTCCATGCATCTCAATAAAGCAGATATATCCAAAGCCTGCAATAGCTGCAAAAACACTCCACAGTGTGTCCAGCACTGGGACAGTTTTCAAAGAAAATATATTTGAGCCTCAAGCATTTTAAGAGAAGAGATCCAAGAATAGCTAAACAATAGCTTTTAGTCATAGTTAAACACTAGTTCATGTAATATGGAAGCCATTACTCAATACCATAGCTGTTTAAAATAATGTATTAAGGTGTTGGCAATATTTGTTCAAATCACAAGGACTCAAGGCATGATGAATGCCATTTTCCAGATGGATTATTTCTGATTAGTGCTAGAAGTATAGGCATCTTTTATGAAAAATATGGTTTTGGGGATAGAATTTTACACTGGACCTCTTGAGCAATCAGGGGCTGGGTATTGAAATTACCAACACTTACCAATTGTCAGCGACATCCAATGGAAATACCAGCATTACAGCTGCCCTTTTCAGGTGCATGTTCATTATGAAGGCACACCAAGAATGGTGTGATTTCTTAATAACCACCACTTAGCTGGTGGTTGAAGAAAGTGTACATCTTGAAGAAAGTGTACAGTGGTTCTGAAGATTATGAATATGATTCAGCTCATCTGGGCATATTTGCTGTTTCCTGAGATATGATCAACCCTGCATGCTTACATTACAATACTTGGCTTATGTTGGAATGTATAGGGAGATTCAAAATGGAGCTTCCCCAGCACAGCTTCATTAGCAGAAGAGATGTTTCAAAACATAAGAGAATGTAGAACAGAGAGAGGGCAGGGGCAAGAAAGACTATAGAATCACCTCAGATGGATAATATCCAGTTGTTACTTAGACTTTTCTTCTGTTTAACTTGTTTAACGTCTTCTATGCCACCATCAAATGTTTCTGCACAATCTGACTTCCAGTTTTGAATCATCTATCAATTCTCAATAGGTAACTTTTTTCTCAATAGGTAACTTCAGATAAAAATCCATAGCCTTTTGCCCAGATTAATACACCAAAATTGTGAGCAAGTCCAGTGGCACTGCATTTGGAATGGGTCCACCAAATTCAAATGAGGGATGACCCATGCAAACCTTTTGTGTGTGGCCATGAGGACCAGGAAGCAGTCAGTTAATCTAAGACAGCTGCAAGGATTCTGCCTCACTCAACAGAGAAGAACAAGAAAGACAAGAGCCAGGGAACATGCAGAGCTTCCCAAACCACCACAACTGCTAAAAAGGGGAAGGCAAAATTCCAGTTTGTGACCACCTAGGACTCTGGAATCCACCAACCAGAACCTTATGCAATGAACTAGGGATTCCTAAATAGCTAATGAGGTGCCCCTCCAAATATTTTGGATCATCATTCCCAGTATTCCTGATCAGTGGCTATGGTTTCTTGGTCTTTTAGTCCAAAACTACTGGTGAATTCAAGGTAAGCTACCACTAAATAGACTGACAGGAGTAAAGGATTAATTAAAGAATTCTGAAAACAGGAACAGGAATTCATTTTGAAAATTAAAGCTAAATGGAATGCACAGTACCCCCACACCTAGTTACTGCAAGTTTTCTTGATTTTAGCAGTGTATTTCAGGATGAAAGGAAATTCATCTTATGGCAGCTGTTTTCCACAATTGGAAACTGAAGATCTAGTGCAAGTCAATGAGAGATCTACAAGTAGATCCAGGTATCACTTCAGTCTCCACCATCCCCAGGTCTGGAAGACAGGATGCAATTTTATTTATTTATCTATTCATTTGTTTATTCATTCATTTCTATACCACTGAACAGGGCTCCTCTCTCTTTTCCTCTACAGCAGACTTACATGAGACTTAGAAGCACAGTCCTTTTATTTGAACTTAACAGGTTACAAAGCCATATAAATCAAAACAGCGTTCTCCTTGAGGTACGGGAGACGCACCTGCCTATGTAAAGAGCTCAACCCAAAAAGAAACAGCCTCTCCTACCCTCTTTCTCAGAAAAGCTCTTCTCTTAGGGCAGCTACAACTGCTTGAGGGCTCTGCCCATTGCACTTGCTTTGTGCTGACAAATCTATCTCAGCAGACGGTAATATGCAAGAACTGGGCACTCTCTCTACACTATCTGGGTGGTGTAAAACAGTTAATAAAATACAGTAAGTACAATATAAAATATAAACAACACTGAAAAGTAGAGGTTTCAATAACTTAAGACACTAAGATATTCAAGCGTCATTTTAACTGTTAATAGTATTTATTTATTTTATTTTTTGACCAGGGCAACTTATTTTATATTGTTAACTTATTGTATTTTAATTGAGTTATTTGTAAGCTGCCCCGAGGCTTCGCCGAATGGGGCGGCATAGAAATTTTCCAAATAAATAGATAGATAGATAAGTTTCTCTATCACTGGGTTTGCCCCACAAAAAAACTCTACAACACACCCTGCCCCCATATGTTTATTTGGAGGTGGTAAGTGCCTTGACAAAGTGAGCAGTCTTAACATGGTGCTGAAAAGACAGTAAAGTTGCTGCCGGGTGAGCCTCAGTGGGAAGACTATTACAAATCTGGACATGATCAGAGAGGAGTTCCTCCACTTTCTTTGTTGCCACTGTAGGAAGTAGTTTTTGGAGGAAGGCTCAGATGCTGAGCATGGTGCTGAGGTGGACTGCAGCTGGAGAAGGCCTCTGCCAAGTACTGGGGTCCCAAGCTGGAAAGGCCCTTCAGGTGTGAAGGGAAGGAAGGGGATTGCAGATTGGTACAGTGCCTTTTGCCTTTATTTTATTTGTTTAATAGAATTAGCCAACAGAAAGACTGCTTGAACCATGTGAGTAACCAACAGAATGCTTCTTGCATGACAGACAGTGAGTTTCTTCACTGTGTATCTCAGTTAAGAAAATGTGGTCACCGCGCTACCAAACGATCTGCATCTTTTCCCATGTTTACTGATCTGGCATGCTGGGAAAGCAGCCTCAGGAACTTCATTTGGAGCTAATCTGAGCTCCCTTTGATAACATGTGGAAATTCCCTTGTTTTTGTACATGCCTTATTTCTTATTGAGCACAGTAAGGAATACTTGCAAGCCTATCTTTATTTTGGAAGGGGGTTCATTTTTTTATTATTCAGCTGTTGTTCAGCTATTACAATTATATTAAAAACAAGCCTCCTGTATCTTTCTACATCAGCTTTCCCCAAACTGGTGCCCAGCTGATGTCTTGCACTACAAATCCTAATTCCCAGCCAGCAGGGCTACGGTCATGTCACGGGTTACACCATGGCCACTGGAAATTATGAGAGTCATCGTCCAAGGCATTTGGAGGGCACCAGGTTTGAAGAGGTTCTCACACATGGAAGACCATCAATCAGAACATTTGGAAAAACAAAAGCAGGAAACCGGTTCTTACCTATTGTTCTTCGAAGATCTTCACACTGGCTAATGTGAGGAAATTTGAGGATTTCCTTCCATTTTTTGCTTTTACCTTTGCGCTTTCCTCCTCCACCTGAAAGAGAAGAAATGATGTTCAGATTAATTTCTTTAAAGAATCAGTCTTTTTTTTCCTCCTGTCCCTCCCTCTCTCCCCCCCCCACACACACACAACAGCTGTGTTTTCATAAATTCACAAATGGACACACTTGTTTGAGAAAGAAAAGCATCCATTGTTTTCAATACCGTAAACAAATACATGAGGGTTTCTAGGTTCCAGTGTTGTGAATATACGTAGTGGTTACTAGCCAATAGTAAATACTTCCTGCTCAGGCTACTGAGTGAGTGAACAGTTGTGGGGCAGCTTTGAAGCAGCCCTGTGCTGGATTTGCCTCCACCTGGGGACACCTGTGCTCAAGATCCCTCTCTAAGGAAGTTAAACTCACCCAGAAGTGTTTCTGAATAAAGAGACAGAACAAGAAGTTTAATTCTAAAATAAGATCTGGTTCATTTTTGAAAATTGTCTACCACTATGTTTTTTTAATCCTGTGATTTGAGGGCAGGAGAGTAAGGGAACTAGCTGAGTACAGACTTTACCACGAATTTACCTAACGTGGCATTTTTAAATCTCTGTGCCAACAGAAATTCAATTGTCTTTTGGAATTCACACAAATGTACCTGAGTCCTGCAATGAAAAGTAGTGGGGGAACCAATTGTTAAAGTGAGATATAGTTCACTTCCCCAACACTCCAAAAACCTCCTCACCACTCTGAGTGCAGACGGTCCTGAATGGAATGTCTACACATTTCTGCAAGCTAATATAATGCATTTTGATGTTATTTCCCCCAATGTATGCATTTTTCTCAGTGTTCCATCTTTAGGTTCTTCCTTGCCTCATTTATTGTGTGCATATGATGCCCTCTGAAGAGAAGGAGTATATTATTTTGCTTTGCCCTAAACGTCTGCATTTGTTTACAGCTGCCTCCTTCATAAAATGCCATGATACACACTTTTAAGGTTCTGCATTTCCATTCTCTGATATACACACATGCATGCACCCACCCACCCACCCACCCACCTGCTTCTACCATTTAAACTATGTTATTTGTACTCTCCCTAGTGCCTTCAGTCTTATCTTGTCTTTGTTTTCACAGGCTTTTTTAAAACATTGTACTCTCTGGTTGTAAAATCACCCCAGGGACTTCACAGAGCTATATAAACATTAAATACCAGGCAAGAGTACAGAACTGTTGGCTAGAGCATCCTTATCAGACTTGGCAATCTGTATATTCTTTTACTCACAGCAGCACAGAGAATATGGAATAGCCATTAGAAGCATTTAATACAGAAGAACAAAAGGTGTGCAAAGTAATTATGATGCAAACTGAAAAAGAAGAAAGAGTTGTTACCATGGGAGAAAGGAAGGGCATAATTACTTGGAGTGAAAGTATCATGGGTTTTTTTTAACAATGAATTTCTGCCAAGATCCAAGAGGAGGAAAGACTGAAAGTTCCCCGTCTACAAGTGTGATTGGTGCATCATGTAGCCAACGGCTTCTCCCTTCTTTTCCTTGTCCTACAAAAGCAGCAGCATCACTTGATGACTCATTTGCTTGTATCTGCGCGTAATATAATGGCACTCTCTTGCTTGTGACGTCTGTGCATTGAAGATTCCAATCAACTGCTTTAATCTGCCTGACCTTTCTAGTTTGCAGCGTTCTCGCTTGTTCCAGATACAATCCAGCAGTATAGCAGGCAGGCAGGCAGGCAGACACACAAACCCCTCTATATTAAGGACATATAGCATTGTCCCCTTAGTTGGGATGGTGAATGAAAAACACAATCTACAATTATAAAAGAATAACGGAGGGATTGGTCATTCTAACTTTTAGAGTAGTTTCACCAATCTATTTGTAATTTACATGTGTCAGAAAGTAATGTTGGTTTTATATAAGCTGAAAAATTCAGAAAGCTTGGTAAATGTTTCAGAAAAAAAAGAGTGTCTCACTCAGCCAGAAACTGAAGAAGTTAACAGGCTACTCACTTTAAAAAATGGTGGTTTTCCAATTCCTTTATTTCTGTAAAGCGTGGAATGGGATTTTCTAATGAAGGGAAATGGGACTCTCATAGTGATGCGGACAATGCCTTTGCCACGTGGCACTTCGTAACTGACTACCTCATGTTGGTCCAAAGCTATCAAAACCCAAGAAATTAGAAGCTAGGGCTGGTGTGGCCCATAAACAGAGCTGATGTTATGGAGTGACCTCCCAGGTCTACTGTCGTGATTCCCTCATCCAGGGCCTCAGATCACCACCCTTCTGTCCATGGGACCCTGATGATCCCTGAACCTGCTGGATTAGCTGAATCTTTGCCCATGAATGTGTCACCTCCTGCTGCCTCCCCTTGAAACCGCTGAGATTCTCCCTGCCCTCTTTTCCCTTGCCCATGCATCCCTTTTTACATATAGGACTGTCCTTAGAAGACAGGACACTTTACAGACTTTAGAGCATATGTAAATGTCCATAAGCAAATTTGTGAACCCTGGATTATTTTTATTTCATTTATTATTTTATTTGGTACATAGCACCACCCCTGTCCATAATCAGTACTGATTCTATGCAAAGGACTGGGACAATCTTTGTAGGCCTCAGGCTCAAAAATTCAAAATCTAGACTATAACGTTTGAATTCCACTGAGAAAAAATCTTACATAATTCATAAGAAACCCACTCCCACTACCACCACTAATGAGATTAGTTAGAAGAGGGCTCTCTCTCACTTTTCAATCAACTCTGCACATTGCCAATGCGCACACCGCTATTGCAGCAAGGCTCAGATACCTCATAAGCAATACAGGGCCAAGATAATGTGGGATAGGTTTGCTGGTCCAGCCTCCCAATCTAGATTTTGGACTGGAAGATCAAGGCAAGGTGGGTGCATGGAAGATAAGTTGTAAGCAAGGGCAAGTTGTGACATTGCACAGAATCATGTATGATCGTGGCACACATTAGTTATGGCATCAGGCTTAGCTTCCAAACTCCTGGCTTTGGGCCAATGTAAGTTAGCCTCCACTCTGGTCTTTTAAGCAGGCAGGCATTTTTAAAAAAATACTGATATACTGCTGTGTGTGTCTCCATGTGTGCATTTGGAGTAGAAGGACATAATGCACCAAGACAGCTGAGCCAAAGTAAAAACCAAAGATTTTCCATGTCTCCCTGGATTCTCGCTATCATGTTGTCGTCTTCTGTTGGGAGGCTCTCTAGATCTTCACCGCTGCTTCTGTTACCAAAATAGAGAGAAGGGCCTCATTATGTACCTCTTTTTTACTATTTGGACTTGGAGTGGTCTGAATGGGTTTGGCATCTCAGTTTTCTGACTGTACCATGTGGCCATTCACACCATTACAGTGAGAGGCTTCTGTGCTTCTTATTAAAAGTCTCAGCATTTGGACAGTGCTCTTTGGTACGGAGTGCAGTGTCTCTATTACTCTCACTATGCTATAGCACTAAGAGGATCAAATAAGCAATTTCAACCATTTGACTATGATCCATATTAGTGGATACATTGAGTGAAGAAATTGGATAATGATTGCCTACTTCTAAGTATGGGACTTGGGTGTTGTCGGAGATACTATGAAATTTTGCAGCAAAGTGTATTGCATGGGGAGTGGGGCAGGGGATGGGAACTCATACAAAAACTTTTAGCCTAAACATGAGAGGACTAAAACTGTGATTGGAGCAAGCATGCTGCGTTCATACTTATCGTGCCTAAGGATATGCCCCGTCTGTTCCACCTTGACATAACACAAAGGTCTGAAAGGAGTTTCTGCACATGTTCAGGTGAACAAGATTAGAAGCCTTTGTGCAACCCAGAACCCCCACTCAGCAGAGTTCCTGGTTGCATGGGGATTTCTAAACCATGTCCACCTAAATGCTTGTGGAAGCCCCCTTCAGACCACCATGCTAAACATGCAAAGTTCAAAGTGAAGTAGACAGAACTGCTGGAGGTGGATCTAGTAGGCACACTCCAGTTACTTTAGCCTGCAGGCATTTAGAATACCACACAAACACAACAGGCTTTGGAAGTTCTCGCAGGATTAAAAAGGGCAACTCGGGACTCTTATTTAGGATGCATCAGAAAGAAGTTGACAATGGAACAATCTTACATGGGGATTTGATCACTCCAAGATCTTGTTGCATATGAATTACTTGAACACAACCTGTTCTTAGAACCCAAGACGGGGGCCCTTTACAAAGTCAACATCTCTGCTATATGTATTTATAATACTGTCGTAGGACATGCCTGGCTTACTGACATTAAGCAGGAGCAGGCTAGTCATGTCCTAAGCATCCACAATGTTAACAGGGCATTACAAATGGCCAGAGATTTAGCAATCTCTTGCAAAAAGCGTTCAGCCCAGCCTCCCAGGTAAGTGCAGAAACCACATGAATTCACACATGCCCTTCAGCACTCACAGCAGGAATGTCAATCCAGTGGGTGTCTGTGATTGCAACCTGGTCAATCAGGGTATAAAAGGGGAGTGCCCCTTGACCTCTGGGTTGATTGCCATTCTGCTGTGATCAAACTTATTCTCGAGAAGAAATAACAGCTTTTTCTACCTCTTACCCTTGTCGTGCTTAATTGGGCTGAGCGCACCAGGCCCAGAACATTTGTGTCCAATACTGTCAATGTAATATAGAAATTCAAGAGTACATTTTAACACAAATATAAGAATTGCCATATTCCTTAAATAGTCTGACATTCTATTCATCTAGTGGCCAGCCAGCCAGAAGCAGACTCAGTCATGTAAATCCTAGCGCATCCTGACGAGATATGATTAGGCCAAATTCCCTCTAAGCCCAAGACTTACCTCCCCGTAGCTTCTCCCACTTCCAGTGCTTTTCTCCATACTGGAGTTCAGCTGAGTACAAGAACACAAGATGAACATACAGGAAGATAAGCTGTGGGCAGGTTGGACATTCTACTACCTGCAAGCCTTTTAATAGCAAAACTTCAGATCCTTGCAACTGTATATATGATTGGAGTATGACTGGGCTTAAATCAGGCAGGTCATGTCC